TTCCTCTTTTTTTCCAACAAAATCAAGAAGGTTGAAAAATGTAACAAATGTTTTTTAACTTTCAAATTAGTTAATGTCTTCAGATTGCTCTCTCACCGGGTTGACATGACCATCTCGAGCGATGTCTTTAATTTTAATTAAATGTTTCAAGTTTTTTTTCCGAGCTCTGTGATGGACTTTAAATGATAGTATTTTCTTAAAATTGATTTTTTTTTTAGAAAAAACACACTAGATTATATTTCCTCTCACAAGTGAAATTACTTTGTGCAAGAATGAAAGTATGTCAATGTATTAATTTATCAAGAAAAGTATGTCAACACTTTTTTATATAAAAATGTCCCCAAATAAATAAATACACCCTAAAATAAAAAGAGAATTCATCATCTTCAAAGCCTGAACTGAACACTCAAGGAAAAAAAAAAAAAAGGACATGTATAAAACATACACCAACCCTGTTTCACAAAAGCATAATTGAGACCCGGGGATTGAGAAAGAAAAGCTTTAATCATGAATTAATAAGATTATATTTCCGAATTCAAAAAAGGAATAATAAAACATGAGAGCACACATGTGTTGTGGTATATAGGAGAACCAGACATCGACAAGAGGAAACCCTGCAATATGCATGGAAGAACAGGTTCCATATTGCTCGCAAAAAAATAAAATTAAATAGCCATATGATGAGCCAACATGCAACGGTGGCTGCACGATTCTCCCAGGCTAAAAGAGACATGTGATCGACATTGTGCCGCCCAGAAGAGCCCAGAGTGTAACCGTGTGACGTGGTGTGCGCTGGGCTGCCGACCATATACATTATGTTTTCTTTTCTAGTCGACACGTGCGAGCCATGTCTTAACAAAGCTTATTTCTTCATTTAATTGCAGGATTAACCTTTTGTGCCTGGAAGAGCATGCGACTGCCGTTTTGAACCAAATTTTGTTTCTTACTTGTAACTAAAAATGATATTCGCCATTCGAGACAGACAAGATAAGCCTATAAGATTCACAGAACTCAGAGTTTATTACACCCTTCTTTGCTTTGTTGGACAAGTTGCCTTCTCATTAGGGGAATATGGAACTTTCTTGCCTATTTTTCACGACAGGGATCAAAGTCAACCGGAGATGCTCCATTAAATTGACTGTCACTACACTTCTAGTTGATGTGACCAGGAAATTCCCTTTTTCCTTGGTGGCAAGTTGGTAATTTTGGAATCGTGTCTATCTGGGTGTACTCAATTTGTATTTAAATTTAAATAATCTTTTTAATGGGCGCATGCATTGTGAAGGGTTCGTGTTCATCCATTGTATTGGGAATGCATTGGGGAGATTGATTTAATGGATTTAGAACAATGTCCATTAAAAAAAAAAAATCATTTTCTGTCCCTGCAAGCTGACCCAAAACGACTCGTATTCTTTTGTATTGTTCAAATTTAACCATTTTAACATTATTAACAATATTGTAGTGCGACGGACATCCTCCGTCCACTATAAATATTAATTTATTGAGAATGTAGTGCGACGGGCTTCCTCCGTCCACTATAAATATTAATTTGCTGACACTGTGAGGGGATCTAGGGTTTTTTTTTATCTTCGATCTTCTCATCTTTGGATCCTTTGCTGACTTTCTAATATTTTGCTGATCAAAGTGTTTTTAAAAATGTTCTTTTTGTTTGGTAATGGATAGAAAACATATATATATATATTTTAATTTGTTTTTAATATTAATATATTAAAACGATATAAAAATATTTAAAAAAGTAATTTAAAGAAAAACATTCAAAAAATACAGTAGAACATCAACGCAAAACACTTCCTTAGACTTTAACTACTGATCACCTGAGATGCTCCTCATTGGCGCTTTACTAGCACGGCCTTCTCTTCCTTCCACGCTTCTTTTTTACTTTCATCCATTCTTTTTCATTCATGGATTGTAGCTTTTACAAGTTACAATGCTCGCTTTCAGCATCTCCTCCCTGACTAATTATTTGACATGTTTCCAAGAACATTAACACGCAATGTCAAGTTACTATTTCATAAAATATTTTATGAATTTTCTTATCCAATATAGGATTTCTTGTTTAGTGAGATTAATTTCCCGTGTAATATGAATTATTTTGTGCAAAAAACATTTGTAGAGTTTGTGAAACCTATATGTCTATATAGAGAATAGCAGAATATGAGAGGTTTGACTGTAGTTTCCAAGAAGAGAAGCCTACTATAAAGAGAATTAAAGGCTAGAATATATAGCTGTTGAAACGAATATTCGAGATTTTTTTTTTCTGAGGTTGCTATAGCCTTTGAAAAGCTTTAGGATGGAATGATCAGAATTGTGGAAGAAAGGATGGGGATCAAGGGAGTGGTTTGTGAGGTTACAGTGTTTTCCACCATAACATTACCCCATTTCTGGGGAGACAATACAATGTTCGTGGTGGGAATATATACCTAACAATATGTCTTGAAAACCTCCGATAGCTAGGAATTGCAGCACTCATAGCCAGAGGACGAACAAAAATCTTGAGGCATTTCGCAGGGGCAAGTGCGGCCCAGCATGTGCATCAATTATTGTTGACATAACATGTGTTTCACAGAAAATTAAATAAAAATGATTGCAAATGATTTCCAAGTTGTATGTTTTTTCTGTCGCCAACTGATGCCTTCACCAATGTGCACCAGTTCCTTTCATCCTTTCTTTTCTGCGGAAAAAGAAGCAAAATCTTGAAAATAATTATGGCTGTAATCTCTTGCATGCCTCCCCATGCAGAGTATGGGACCTTTTGGGGGTCGAAAGGGACACCATTTGTTTCTGATTGACATGATGATTCCAGTCATGTGAGCAAAAGAAAAGACTAACAATCATTTCCAATTTGTATTTTTTTCGTGTATATGTTTAATAATGATTCGAAATTGTTCAACCATGGGCTCCAGGATGGGAAAAAAAATAAAATTCCAAGGAAATCCTTGGAAAAACTTCGTTTTCCATGAAATATACCTAACAATATATGCTGTTGTTGTTTGTGAAACATTTTTTTATTTTGTAGTAATTGATTTTTAAAGTATTTTTTATTTAGAAATATATTAAAATAATATTTTATTATTAATTTTTAAAATTTATTTTTAAATCATCATATCAAAAAATTCAAATTTGGTTCAAAAACATATAAAATAAATAATTTTTTGATTAACAGTATTTTGGCTACAATGACAAAGACAGTTCATGGCTGCTCTGCTCGGTACGTGCAGAATTTTCGAAAAAAATTCTTATAATTTATAGCTCAAGTGGCTATACTTTTAAGTCTTCAGGTTCATTTCTCATATTTTGCACCTGCTGGCACCTGAGCCCATGCAGAGCTGCGGACTCTGCTAACCAGAGACATGTTGGCAGTACAAAACAAAGAAAACAAGCTTTGGCAGTACAAAACAAAGAACACAAGCTTTAGGCTTGTGGGCGTCCTTCAAAGCCGAAAGTCCAACGTCTATCAGGACGAGTGATATGCTTGTAGCGAAAATTATATTGGAAAAGAGAGGAAACAGGGGGAGAGAAGTAGGATATGCTTGCAGAAGAAGGGGCATTGTGATCATGATTACCCTCTCTAGACCGTCGAGGGGCTTAGCCAATCCATCCGGACCCAGGATGATATGTGGGACGACAGTAGAAATCTGAAGCTCGATGAGTGCTCACGATACACCTGCTAGCTATTCTTGGTTGTTCTCACTAGCTAGGTCCACAAGCCTAATTACTTACAACCTTGTATCATAGCCACTCGACCCTACCATCGAGCTCGGCAAGATAGATGAACTTATCCATAGGAGTTGAGCAAATAACCCAACTTGAATTAGGAACAGTGAGCAAAGAACAAAAATCTCCACCGTTAGACGTAATTCCCCGGCGGTAAGACAAAGATCAGAGAAAAAAAATGATCAGAATATATACCTCACATCAGCTCTTGGAATCTCATACCCCGTCTGTACACCTTTCAACGAATATAGAGCCTCAAGCCCGTACTTCTTTAAGTCGATCCTCTAGCTCCACCTTTGACGTCCAGCAAATTCACCATCAAGTGTGTTTGTCACAAGAACTTAACATTGAGTATCAGAATATCAATGGTTGCTTTCAAGGTTCATGCCCTTTGAAAATTATGAAAACTGAAGTCAATCATATGGCTCATCTGGGAGTAATCTTCAAATTTTGGGGGAAAGTGGGAATTGATTGTAAAAGAACCTAACTTATTTTTTCTAAAGATAAACGGGTTTATATTTACAAAAAACCTGAAACGCATAAACAGTAAACAACATATTAAAAGGAGAATTTTCTGTGACCAAATAAAAAAAAATGGTAATTCAAGAGATTAAAAAATGGAAGAAAAAATAAAATTCAAGACTAATTAAGAACAAAGTAAATTAAATAAAGTTTGTTAATTTTTTTAATAATAAGCCCACATGCTGACATGTGGATAGTTTCGGTCACACTTGACAGTTTGACTTGGATGGAAGTGGATGGAAGGTCCACGTTAATCCACATGTCATATTAATAAGATAAGATGACAAGTATTAACAAAAACAAAATAGCAGGAGCAACCAAGTCATTTATTCACAAGTTCTTAAACAATTAATATAGTTATTAATTTTAATATTAGCACATCTAAACCATCTACAAATACTAAAAATATAATTTTAAATAAAAAATTATTTTTTTTCAAAAACAATTTACCATCTATACTTCCTTTCATTGATTGATCTTTCATATTCAAAGAAAAAGGAAAAGGAAAAAAAGACAATGCAATATGAATAGTACATTAAAACCTAACAAGCTTTTATTGGATGGAACTTGATGGCTCATTGAAGTTGCTGAGAATGGCTTCGCCAGTTTACCTACGAAGAGGTGGAGGCAAACCAAAAGTCAAACTTGCTGGGAGCTATTCTTCCTTGGAAAATGATGTCCTGCCCTTTTCAAGTTTCACTAGCAACGTCAGCAAAAGAACCGCAGCACGATTAAACATAGCATTGAGAAGAACCACTTCAAATCTTGTTAAAGAAAAAGAAGAGCAACGTGATCAAGGATCATTTATCGGTCTAATTGGGTGCATGATGGATCCCAGCAGCATAACGTGCTAAAAAATAGTCATAATTTAAGCACCAAATATTCCACTCCAAGGCTCTCTTATCTCATGAATTTGTACACAAGAAACTTTTAACTCAAAATTCATACAAATAACAGTGATCAGGTTAGAAATTCTCTCCCAGGCGCCAAGGAGCAACGGACAGCTGGTGTGTTCTTATTATCAGGTTCTTGAGTTTGACATCTGGTGAGGTAAGCATTTCAGGTTCCAAAAATGGGATCTCTACAAATTTTTCCACTGTGGGACCCATAATTGTGATGAGTGTGTACACAAAAGGAAGAATGGCCTCCTACCATCTGCTCAGCATATACAGTAGTGAGATTTCTGTACTTGCACAGACCAGATAAAATCCAAATCAGCCTCTCATGGATTCTCCATCAGCACCTTGGTTCCTGCTTCAGTTGTATTCCAGAAGGCGATCCAAACATCATTGACTAGAGATACAAGGAAAAGAAAACAATATTAACAAAAACACTCGATCAAAGGCTTTGTTATCTAACAATGTTACTTCAGCAGCACCAGCACATCCATAGGTCTAATGCCTGATAAAAGTTCCAGATTTGACAGCATACCAGGAACAAATCAATTATCTAGCTAGCCACCCAAATTCGAACTGTCTAGCAGAATGGCTGGTGATTACATCAAAGTAATTGGACTTCAAAATACCACCCCAAGAAAGGGTGGAGGTAGTCTAAAAAAATGAAAAAAAAGGGACCAGAAAACACCAAGATAAACAGTTAATAAAACAACACATTAAAACAAGAAAACATCATGAAATCTGCATGTAATGTTCAGGCCACAGGTTAAGAAAAGATATTCTGTGGAGGGGACGCCTAGGCAGAAATAAAACACACATAGATGATCAGCTAAGAAACTTAATGAGGTACATGTATCGATGAAACGAATCACAAAAGAAGACAGAGACTAAATGATCTCCACATGGTCCTTGCATAAATTTTTATGAAATAATGATCAATCTGAAACATATTTAAGTTTTAATATATTCTTGATGTGATACTGTATGTTAACTAAGGGGAAATATATATACCAATCATCCAGGGTCATCAGATCATCTGTCTGTATTGGTGACATACCAACAAAATGATCTCGTATTTTTTTTTCTTTTCTAATATTCATTGACATATATGAGTCTTAATGTGACAACACATAAAGAAACTCATCACTCGTCCATTGAAATGTGCAATCAAGTCAAGTTGTTTATAGATTACCTGAATTGTATTGGGCAATATACTATTTGCAAGATCCTCATCAATGGACACAGGCAGTGGTGGCATCCGACTCATTATTCCAGGCATCTCTCTCATACTGCAAAAAACAAAGTAGGATTTTCCACAACTTAGCAATTTGTAAACAACAAATAGTGTGGCATGTCACAGGACCAATACCAAAATGAAGATATTGAGAATCCACATACTCGTTCAGGATGGCAGTGATATTGTTCCTTGTGTAACAAAAGAAGTCAATGTTATCCTGCAACTGTTTATGAAAATGTTAAACTAACTAACAACCCATCCTTGGAAACCACAACTAATCTTCTGGCACTCTAGACCTCTTAACTCAAATTCAAAAACAGTATCATAAACTGGCTTCTCAAACCTCTTAAATCAATGAAAATAACAGTGAATGCAGAAATAATTAAATAAAAGAAAAAATGTTAAGAAATAATATTAAAATCCTCATAAAGCAGCAAACCTTAGCAGCAAGATCTTGATTTGGTGGAATTTACACCAATGTTTTTAAATAAAGGAGCAGTTTTGCTTTTCATCACAGGCATTAAGGGCATAGCCATTGTTACCATGAATTGTTGGCAACTGAGCAAATTGTCTCTAATGTACATAGTTTAAACAATTTCACTATAATTAACAATGCTAATATTATAGACGAATAAACATCACCAATTTTAATAAAACGCAGATATCCTTTTTCCAGCTAATGAGCCTAAAATTAACATTCACAAGAAAAGTTTCACTAAAAAAAAATTATTCCTTTTTTTTAAATAAATAAATAAATAGACAAAATAGTAAATCTACACAAATCTAAAAATCCCAGACTAAAAAATTGTATGACTGCTTGTAAACTGAGCAATTTAAAAAACCAAATGGCTGAATTTTCAAGTGCAGCAACCATGATAGTTGCAGGCTGCAAGGTGACATGATAGTACCATTATCCAAGTCCATGTTGACATCCCATGGAACCAGTTTCTCAAATATGCATGTAGAAAGGGAGATGATGCAAAGAAAAGATATGAAAATTCAACACAGAAGATGGAATTCCTTCTATAATGTTACATGGGTTTGTGCGCTGGTGTTCAGGGTTGGCTCACAGCTAGGTGTCAACAAAGTCAATTTTCATGATAATTTTGATATTTTGTTGAGTCTAGTACCCAAACCATTAACCACATAACAGTGTTGATATGGGCATGGCAAGATGAGGTCAAGCTTCCAAGTAGCATGATTGTAAACATCAAGCTTAAGTACCTATACTCAGAAGAGAATCCCTTTTCCACAAGCAGTACATTTGCAAATGTCCATCAAATTGCACAGTGGCATTTTCCAGTTTCAACCATACTTGCTATTCATTCCCTTTTGTATTAGTCAAAGTAGTAAAAATGTGATATAAAGTATCTACAGTGTGATTTATAACAGGCCATGCATTTAATTTCAACCATTCAACGCAAGACCTTTTATGGCTATACGGTAAATGTGTTTTTTTCTTTTCACCAGTGGAACAAGGCAAGCACTTAACCAGCCCAGAAAAACACAATGTCATCTTCACAAAGATCAGGTTATAATTATTATGTTTAGAACAAATTCTGTTGACAGGGAAAAGGGCAAGCAATGTTCCTAGAATAACAAAAGATGTTGCCTTTGATACATTGCATCTGAGTTCAACCCATTGATTATTGAAGATCGATCAAATTTCAAGAATTTTATGAGAAATAGCAGCCACAACACTTCCTTTGCACACAGTGCTGAAAACTTTTGATTGTGCAACCACTTCTTGCTATGAGCTAATATCTATGTTTTAAACCAACATTTAAAAGATAAAAATTAGTAGTATTCACCATTAATGTAGAAAGGTTAGCTGATATCTGACTAAAAGCTTGAGCATTCTGGTCCAAGAGTCTGGTCGTCCCACTAATTCCTGAAAGCCACCAAAATAAATGGATATTAGAAGTATTATGAAGGCAAAGAGTAATTTGAACAATGAAATAAGGCATAATAGAATATATAAAGCAAAGGGGAATAGTGGAGATAAGAGAACAAGTATTTTCAACAAGGCAGAAAATGTTGAATAATATATGACAAATTACAAAGATATTGAATTGAAAGAAAACAACCATATTGAGAAAACTGTTCTTCTACAGCCAACTTTTGACAATGTAACTTTTTCCAAATACCTTCTTACAGTTCCTTTTCCTACTAAAAGGCCATTCAATCACATAACTGCCCAGTTACCATGCTTTCTCTGGAACAGGTTATTGTTGCTCAATTGTTCCACGAAAGATCAAAACATTGCATTTTGATCCAACCAAAACAAAACACCAACATAACACCATGTTGTGGTCTGCACCATAACCTAAAGCATCTTATAAATTCATCTGAGACTAAAGGCCCATTTCTATGCATGATCTCAATCCATAATCTCCAGATGTTTTTTCTTTTTATTTGAGCTTAGCTTAGATTGGCAAAGTGGTCAGCAGAAGATCTGCCATGACGAGGATGGATATTGGACAGCTAAATCTCAAAATGATGCAGGCATTATATGGCTACAGAAAAAGGTTCCAAAGGGAAAAACCAAGACCAGAAACATTCTCTAGCCATCCAGAACGTCCAATAATAATTCCACATCAATTATGAAAGCAAAATCCAACTAGCTGGTCATTACCAGCTGTGTCCACAAGAACTAACGGCTTTTTCGTTGGGTTTTGGAACCCAAATTGGAAGGGCACATTTATTAAGAAAGAAATTCAATTCAACAACATAGGGTTCTTTAAATTGTTTAGTCACTAGTTCGACATCTGATTTTCTTCATGCTTTAAGTTCTCTTAGTGATGAGAGTCCTTTATGCAAAGTAATTTTAAACAGCTTAGAAACGCATAAATGGGCAGTGACTTTTAGTCATCAACAATCTTTTCACCACAAAGAAAGCTCTTTAGCACAGAGCACTCTTTAAGACGCCCTGTTATGTTGAGCTTTTAAATGAAATGGAATTTTAATTGCTCTTCTGGAATCTTAGCAGTTATCAAGCTGTTTTCTTTCTAGCATCTTGCCTATCAAAAGCAATTTGTCTCTTTAGCTCTCATCCAAATCTCAGCTACATAATATTATTTCATCTCTGAAAAATTAGATTATTAATTTTCTTATCCTCCCAAAACTAAATTTATTCCTCCAATTTACCACACCCCTTGCAAGATTGCCCAATTCTCACATTATCAAGCTATGAAACTCAGCTATTCTCACATTATGCTACATGAAAAAAGGTAGAACAAGAATAATCTGATCAAAGTGAAGAAATTGCAAGTAAGATTTTACACAAGTTTTCGACAACTTCAACAAAACACAATGCTTGAATGAACAGCTGTGAGGAAACTCATACATACATATTGATAAGTCTAAATTGCATTTATACTATGCTGCTGATCTGCAATTTGAGTTCAAATCATATAGCAAACTCCACCACATGAAAAGAGAAAAGGAGATTTGCACAAATAGGAACCACAAGTTACTTAACGCAGAAAACACAAACAAATGAGACATTAAACAAGGATGTTTTTCAAAAAATGTGAAAACTAACCTTCAAAGGGCAGTTCACTTTGGTCTGTATGGTGCATCATTAGAGGATATGAAGCCACATTCTGCAGTAAACCTGCAGTCATGTTCATCTTCGAGGATGATTCCACCAGCTTATCCTGAAGAAGCATGATCTTTAGAATACTGGTTCTTCAATCAACATTACATCCTAAAGACATTAATCATTTCAATCCATTAAGATAGAATTTATATTGTTGGTTCAAAGCTATATGTAAATAAGTTGTAAACATGAAGGTTATGTAATGGGATTTTTCATCACTTGTCCAGCCATGAAAATGTAATCAAAAGCTGAATTCCTGCTTCCATGAAAATTAACTATATATATCTGCCAGCAGCAACAGGGGGATGGCTGCTACAGTTTTCAACTTGGAGAAGGTATTCCCAATATAGATAAATTTCACATTTTAGAAAGACAATCACACCCAAAATTGTTACCCAAACCCATGAAACTATTATCCAGAATGAGGGATGCAGCCAAATTAACAATATTGGGGCCAAGCATCACATTTCTGTTTAAAGGACCGATATAATTATGACAATTAAAAGTTCAAAATTGAAGGCTGGTGCATCCTTTAACCTTAAACTTAGGCACAATTCTCTTTTTCGAAGCAATGAACCATATGATAAAACAAAACAAGCTAAGGTTACCTTCCTGCTGTTGATCTTCTTTCCCATGTTATAATCTTCTGCCTTCCTTCGCTTTCTCTGCAGAAGATTTTCATTACTTTTTTAAAGTCGCATAAGCAGATGTAAGGTTAAAGTTTACAAATATTTAGCAAGCAGTACACATGATCCATGATATTGGCATCTAAAACAGGTTTTTGTCAGACAAGCATATAAATAACTGATCATCAGATAATACATCAAAGCATAAAGACCCATCTGCCTAAGAAGATACCTAACTACAGTTGCCGTTGTACTTTATTCCGTTAATTAAACAAGCTTAAATTATTATCACTCCAAAGCTCCAAACCAAAGCCTACATGAGCAATAAACATCCGATGCAATCTTCTAATTGCAGCTTGATTTGGTTCAAGGAAATGAAAAAAATAAGAAATTCAACAAAAGAAGGTTGAATCTCACAACATTTATACTTTTTAATTGAAGAATGAACAAGAAGAGGGAAACCAAAAGGAGCAAAATCTATTTGATAATCAAAAAGTTCCAATATGATGAACGATGTCTTTCAAAAATTTCCAATTAACTACGGGGAAAGAAAAGCCTACCGTCATCCATCTACACCTCAACGCAACATCACGAACAGTTTTATCACGGAGCATGGCTGCAATCTTTATGTATCTCAGAATACTTGGTTCACCAGCATATCTGTAAATTTAAATTGACACAACACTGCGTGAAAATTATCAACAAAACCAAAATTAAGTAAAATCCTCCCTGATAGAAACCATTCCATACCATATTAGAATAGACTAATACAAATTTGGTTGCAACATAACCACATCAAACTAAACTTTAAAGCACAGAAAAAATGAGAAAGCTACTAAACCATCATCATCAATGCCAGGTGTAAGTACCCATGTTACATAAAAAATGAAGAAAGTTTACACACGAGTTAAGACACACAAAGTTTCAACTAAGATGAAAATGGGTAGGAAAAATAATAACCCTAGGAGAAAACAACCTACTTTTGAAGGCCTTCCTCCAGTTTGTACTGCTCCTCGACGGACCACTCAACAGCCAAGCCAGCATCATGCTTTAAGCCAGGAACGGAATCAAGAAGCAACGAAGAAGAGGCAGAAGAATTCCCAGCTTGAGCTTGAACAATTCCACCACTTCCACTACCACCAGGACTGGTATTATTACTAATCAAGCTGGAACTCCCAGGCAACATCAAGCTACTACTAGTAGTACTAGTATTAATCCCAAAGTACGACCCCATCCCCATGGGAATCATATCCGTTGTGCAGCCACTGTTTATAGCGCCAGATTGAAAAGAAATTGCGTGCCGATTAAGAGCAGAACCTAAGGTCCCCTCTAGGTGAAACCCTGTGTTAGACTTTGCAGCCATTTCCTCTTCCTCTTCTTCTTCTTTTTTGGGCTTCAAACAACCTTCATCGTCACGTCCAAACTAATTGAGCGCCGATCAAGAATCAAAACACCCCCGAATCGCAATTCACTATCAAAACAGCTGCTTCAACTAACGTTTTCAGTTGAAGAACCAAACGAAATTGAAAATTGAGCCCGAGATATAAGAAGAATCTCGCAAATGGAACCCTAATAGACAAAAGGCCCCAACTAAGTATGGTTCCAAAGCTCAAAAGAGAAAAACAAAAACTAGTGTACAAAATAAGTGAAAGAAAGGTCTAAATAGAAGAGGAGGGGAATGTGGTAATAAGAATGAGAAGAAGAAGAAGAAGAAAAGGAAAGGTGGGTGATTGAATGGTTTACCTTTTTGAGGGCTTACTTTTCCGACGAAGCCCTAATTGGTTCTTTGCCTTCTATTCTATTTTATTGCCTTCTCCCTTTTCTCCCCCCTCCCTCCCTCCTCCCTCTCCTCACCACCTTCCACTCCAACAACAACACGTACATGTTATACTATATTTATTTATTCTTTTATTATTCAAGATAATACTTAAATTCGAGAACTTTAAATAATATCAATTGAATTATAACTATCACACTTTACCCCATCGTGAAATCATTTCTTTAAAAATAAAATGGATTGATTGGAACGAGAAGACAGCATACGATATCAGAAATTATGAAACCAGAAAAAAGAAGGAAGGTTTTACAGGGGGGTTTTTCCGGTGGTAAGAAAAAGGGAGCATAAATTAATGTTGCAGTGCATTAATAGAATAATAATAAGGGATGGTGATGGATACAGATCTTGGAATTCAGGAACGGTGGCCATATCTTGGAATTCAGCAACAGTGGGGATCCCCATCAGCATTTGATGCCCAATTATTGTGGTCTCTCCACCTTCCCTTTTCCTTTCCCTTTTTTTTTAAAAAATATTGTTTTTATCCTCTTGGTTTTATTAATTTCTCCCCTTTACAGCCATCCCTATTTCTCCTCTTGTGATTTTGTTTTGTTTCTATTTGTTTTGCATCTTTTATTTTATAGACCTTCAATGATTTCAACAACAAGGGTTTTGGATTCTTGCGGTTCCATTTTCATCCGTAAGCTTTTGTCCAGACAAGATAGTACTCCTCAGCCTCCTCCCATGTCTACGAGAATAATTAATCAATGATGCAATTATATATATATATGAAAGTAATTATTTCCCTTCAGCATCAGTAATTATATCTGCAGTACGGTATTTGGAAATGATAATCAAACTATCAAAGTCAAAAAAAAAATAAAAAAAAATTATAATGTTTTGATTTGAACAAAACGTGTGGTTAAGTATGTGGGAGGAAATCTAATCTGAAAATGACAGATTTGATAAAACAAGACATTGAAAGTACATGTTCTCAAACAGTATATTTCCCTCCAATCGCCTCTTGCCGATTTCCTCGACCAGTTTGCGGTCTGATAATTGAGTTCTGGTGCCCCGTTCATAGCATTGTGTTTGCATGTGCTTGGATTTCTATTAAGCTACTCTAATAATTAACCACTCCATTTAATGTCGGACTAAGTGTGTGTTTGTGATTAACACACATGGTTGGCTTTCTTTTTTTATTATTTCAAGTACAATTATTAAAGTACAAACCATACTTTCCAAAAACAAAAAAAATACATGTGTTTTGTTACTTTTTTTATAAATTATATTAAAAAAATACAACCACACCTCACCATATCTATATTTCAAATAAACCCTAACTTGGAATCTTTTTCTTATTGGAGAGATAAATCATAAAACAACATAAAGATCACCTGTTTGGAAAAAATTGAGATGGCAACTCTTTGCATTGAAAATGAGTTTGGAATAATAATGACTCCAATTTTAACAAAATTAAAACTCCTAGTTTTACAGGAGAAAAAAAAGATCTAGGTGTTGTCCGGGCAACAATCATTCAGCCCAGGCAGCATGCCTGGATTCATTTTCTCTCCTAATAGGTTTGAAAAACTTACTTTAGCATAATACTTTTTTGATAGTTTTCTAATATCTCCACCCAAATTCTTTAATAATTATATATTAATTTAATACATATTATTTTAAATAAAATATAACTTTAAATATTATATGGTTGAAATTATTCTTCAACCACTCATCTCTGTTAAAGAAGAGTACTCATTAATTACAAATACTTTAAATTTTTTATGAATTCTCAATATTTTTAATAAATATATTTTTAAAATTTACCTTTTTAAAATATTATTTTACTTTTTATATCTAAAAAAAAATACTAGAGCATTCAAGAATCTTTAAATTTATCAAAAAAACTTCTTGGAGGTATCATCTACTCAACTACCTTAACTATAAAAAAATTGATCAAATTACTAAAATTAAAATATTAATAAATTATCTAACACATAAATTTTACTTCTAAACCACTTAATTACCATGACAATTAAATCTTTATACTTGAATAAAACATTGAAAGAACCATCAAATATGAATACTGATAGTTTAGACGGTATTGGCCATGTATCTTACGATGTGTCAACATTGTAGCAACCCATAAAAGCTTAAATTTATAATGTTTATTTATTTATTTTTAAAAAATAAACATATGATGTTATAATGCCCTTGGGTATTGATTTTCATACAAATCGGTCCTGAAATAGGAATCCTTAGACATGTACCAATTTAAGGGTGCCTAATGATATTAATTGAATATCACAAGGCTCTGGTTTTTTTTAGTGAAATATTTTACAGTTACCAAATAT